AAAAAAAAAAAAAAAAAAAATATATATATATATATATATATATATATATATATATATACATATATGCTCAGTATTCAGGTTGGGGTTGAGATTATAATGAATAATAGTAAGCCATGTGAGCCATGCAGTGTTCTAAGCACTTTTCCCTTTAACTCATTTAGTCCTCCCAATCACCTCATGAAGTGGGTATTGTTATTTTCTCCATTTTGTAGATGCAGAGCATTTGTCCAGACAATGTGGTGTTAAAAGCCCAAATTCTGGAGCTGGGCTGCCTGGGTTCTAATAGTGGCTCTGTCACTCGCTAGCTGAGTCCTGAAGTTAGTCACTTAACCCTTCAGTGCCTTGGTATTTAATTCATATAAGGCTGAAGAGAAATTGAGTTAGTACATGGCAGGCACTGAGAACAGAGCCTGCCCCCGACAGCAAGCACCACATAAGTGTAAGCTACAAGGTGGGATGGGACAGGCTAAGGTTTCTGAATTTATTTGGGTGGGAAGGCAGTGTCTGAGGCACCTAGAGATCCTGGATTTGAGGTTCTGGGGTAGAGGGAATAGGGGGCTGGGGGAGAGGGCTGGCAGGCTGGGAAGCGCACCCTGGATCTGGGTGAGCCACATGGGCTGCCCGTGGTGTTCTGAGGCGATGGTCAGCGTGTTGAGGAAGACGAGCAGGAGCACAGCCCAGTAGCAGGCATTGGACTTCACAGCCCGACGGCACCGTGCCCGAAGGCCCCGGTTGGCTCGGCGGAGGCGGCGGCTTGGGGAAAGGGGAGCCCACCGGCTGAGGTCGCTTACCTAAGCCTGCCTTGGGGTTCTCAGGTCGGGGAGCCCAGAGGTCATGGAAGGGTGCGAGGTGGGGTCCCAAAGCCAAGGAGTCACACAACTTTCCCAACTCACCAGACCCTCATTTTCATGATCTTGTTTCTGGAAAAGAGAGGGGTGGGAGGTAGAGGAGGAGTCAGCAACTGGGACAGGAGGTCAGGGGCTGAGGTCAAGGTTTGAGGTTAAAGTAAGGACTGGGGTCAAGGTCTAGACTGGAATCTGGGCTGGGTCAGGGGTCAAGGGCTGGGGACCCTTACAGGCAGCGTGTACAGCTGGCCAGAGCCCCTTCCTCCTCGTCCTCATCGCCTGGGGTCTCTGCCATCGAACCGGTGTCACTGGCTGGGAGGCTGGCTGTAGGCAGGATGAGGACAGAAGTCAGAACCTGAAGACCTCAGGGTCCCACCTTTGGCTTTCACCTCTGCCTACCCACCCTCCACGGCTCTGTCCCACCCCAGCTGGACCTCTACCATGGCTGCTGGTGGAATGTGTGGAGCGAGTGGAGTGACTGAACCAGCGCAGATGTCCCCGCCTCCTATTGGTCAGCTCGGCCAGCTGTGGCCCTGTAGGGATGAGAGGCAGGGTTAGGGCCATGTCTAGGGCAGGGGGTGTTATCTGGAGTCTTTGTATCTGAGGCTGGGTCTAGATTCTGTGTCCTAAGCCATAACTGGGGGCTAGGCTGTTGCAGGTTGGTCTGGGTCTCAGTGGGGCAGACCACATCTGAGGCATGCATAGAGCAGGGAATTGGCCAGAATGGAGTTGCCTACGATGGCCAGCCCGGCCCTCTTCTGCCACAGAACCAAAGTTGCTGTCTGCCGAGGGGTCCTCAAGGTCCAGCTCCTCAGCCTGTGTGATCCAGTCCAGGTAGCCCCGGAGATCCTCCTCCATCTGCTGCTTCTCCCGCAGCTTCTGGAAGTCCCCTCGTGCTTTTGCTTTCTCTCTTTCCTTGGAGAACTCCCTGAGGAAGGAGGACAGAAGGCTAGGTGAGGGAACCACCCCGGACCACTTGCCTTTACCATTCCAGCCATGCTAGCCTCCTAATTGTTCTTTGGATATGCCAAGCACATTCTAGCCTCAGAGCCTTTGCACTGGCTGTTCCCTTTGCTTGGAATGCTCTTCCCTCAGATACCCACATGGCCCACTTCTGCATCTCTTTCATGTTATTACTCAAATAACACCTTCTCAAGGAGGCCTCTCCTGATATCCGTATTTATAATCACAAGATCTCCCCATTCTATCTTTTATCTTTCCTTAGCACACATTCCATATAAAACACTACATATAAATTGTGTGCGTGCACACATAAAAGACACACACTTATTTTTTGTGTATGTTGCTATTGTCTGTCTCTTTCCATCAGAATGTAATATCCAGGAAGGCAAGGACTTCTGTCTCTTGTTCCTTCCTAAAATAGTGTCTGCACACAGTAGATGCTCATAACTGAATGATTGAATGAAGGAGTATTTCAGATGGATTTTGAAGGATGCCTAGGAGTTTGCCAGGCGCACACACACACACACACACACACAAAGAAGAGGGCAGGGGCTGTGGGACGGGAAAGGGAAAGTGTCTAGGCCCCTCACCCACTAAGGACGCCAAGCACAAGGTTGAGGACGAAGAAGGACCCAAAGATGACGAGGCTCACGAAGTACACCCAGGGGAGCTCATACCCCATAGCATCCTGCATCTGGGGAGAGAGAGGGCATGTATCTGTCAGGGTATGCGGACACTCCGCCTGAGCACAGGGAGGAAGGACAGGTGCAGCCTCACAGCTGTGTGCCTACTGTCCACCTCACCCAGTAGAGCACGTCGGTCCAGCCTTCCATGGTGACACACTGGAAGACTGTCAGCATTGCGAAGAAGAAGTTGTCGAAGTTGGTGATGCCACCGTTGGGCCCTGGCCAGCGGCCGCGGCACTCGGTCTGGTTCAGCGTGCACGCTCGCCCGGAGCCGGACGACGCACAGGGCGATGGGTCCTCCTCCGCCTCCACATCTGCGGGAAGACTAGAGCTCAGGACTTTGAAGTACGACCACTTGTGGTCGCTGCCGCCCTGGAGCCCTGGCCACCTAGGAAGTTCTACTCAGGGTTCTAGATTTTTCTAAGCAAGGGCACCCCCAGCCCTGCCTCTAGGGCCGAACACTGGGAAGTCCGTATTCTGAACCACTGGGAAGCTGTGAGTCCCAGCAACAGGCACCTGGGTAACGAGACTGTAAATCCTGGGGAGAAGTCTTGTGAACTTGGGCGGGTCTCTTGAAAAGAGGGTGGGGACAAGGCTTGGCCTGGGGTCCTGATGAAGGGCCTGAGTATATGGGCCCAGTCGTGGAGGATGAAGTCTTTTTTTTTTTTTTTTAATTTTTGGCGGCTGGCCGGTACAGGGAATGAACCCTGGACCTTGGTGTTATCAGCACCAGGCTGTAACCAACTGAGAGGGTGGAGTCTTAAGTGCAGAGCAGGACCTCGGCGTGTGGTTGCAGTCCCGTGATATGGGTGGAGCTATTAGCAAGACTGGACTTAGGGCGGAGTCCTGAATATAGGAGTGGGGGGTGTGTCTTGTCCCGGGAGGGGTGGGTTGGCTGACCAGATCCCAGAAAGTAGCAAGTCTTGTGCATGCGTCCTAGGAACAGCTCGAGTCCGATGATGGCGTAAATGATGATGACGAAGAGCACGAGCAGCGCGATGTGCAGCAGCGGCACCAGCGCCTTCATGATGGAATTGAGCACTATGTGCAGGCCTGCGGGGAGGGAGGGGCGGGCAAAATAGGGTGGGATCAGATCAGCCCCACACCCACCCCACCTCCAACCCTCGGGGGCATGCCACTCACTGGGGACCCCAGACACCAGCCTCAGTGGCCGCAGCACCCGAAACGCCCGCAACGCCTTCACATCGAAGCCCCCCGGCTTCCCCCCCGTATGCGGGGAGTCGCCGGGTCGTCCGGGGCCCTGCTCCAGCAGCACGCTGAACAGCCTGATGGGGGAACAGGGGACGGGGAAGGGTCAGGCCTTGGGAACCCCCTTCCCCCCTCCCTTCTCAGAAAAGCACAAATTCCTGTAACTGGAAATACAGATGGGTTTTAAATATGTTAAAGATTCCCGATTTTTGGCTGCCGAATGGGGGCGGTCTGAAGCAGTCACTTCCCTGAGCCCGGAATTCAGCGCGGTAGGAAGGCGAACTTAGGGTGGATGCCCCCCGCAGGCGCGCACCCGACCACGACAATGATGAAGTCAAGTAGGTTCCAGCCATTGCGGATGTAAGCGCTGGGGTGGAGCACCAGCCCGTAAGCCACGATCTTCAGCACAGTCTCCACAGTGAAAATCACCAGGAATACATACTCCACCTGCTCCTGGGGGCGGAGCCGGGGGCGGGGTGGGAAGTTCGGGAGTTATTTGAGGGCGGGGTTTGACTGGGGGTGGGGGTGGGAGAAGGGGAACATAGCCGTGACTGACGGTGGGGCTGGTCAGAGATGGGCCATCTGGGTCAGGGAGGGGAGGTGCCTGGCTGGAAGGCTTCAGATGTGGCTCTAATGGGGCAGGTAGCTGGCTGGGGACGGGGTGGGGCGGGGCAGGCCTTACCAGGTTGTGGTTGGCAGTGTTGGAGTCATCCTCAGGAAAGGGGATGTAGACACCCAGGGCCACACAGTTGGCAAAGATGGTAAGCAGGATGAGGATGTCAAAGGGCCTCAGGTGGACACAGTCAAGGACCCCAAGCAGGGCGGCCTCGGAACCCCCACACTCTCTTGCGGCCCTCCCCACCCAGTGCTGACCCTTGACTCCAATGTCCTGACATTTTCAGTCCCTGCCTCAACCAAGGCTTTGACTTTGACGCTCCTGGAAACCTTAATCATCCCTAACTCTTTGTGTGATTCAGTCCTTGACTCTTGACCCTCTAGTGACTTTTGCCTTTCTGAATTCCCCCTTTAATCCAGTTCCTGACCCTTGGTCCCTTATGACCTCAGCCCTCCTCCATTCCAGCCCTGACCCAGTCCTTGCTTCTTGGTACCCTGATGACCCTTACCCCTGAACCCTGCTGCTGGCCTTCCAGGATGCTTCCACTCCACGATGCTGATGCAGGACCTCCTCAGGGGATTGGCCAGGGTGAGGCAGAATAGCGCCCGGGGTGACCTCTGGGCACTGGCCACTGTCACCATCTTGTGCTTGCTGTGCTGGGTCCTTCGCCTAGGGGTTCCTAGGCCTGATGCCCCATTGATTTCACCCCCCATGGCTGGGGGCCCAGGGCACAGTCCCCATTCAGGACCAGGGGCTGCCCCATTGGCTGGACTGGGCTCTGGGGTGGTGTCTGTGGAGAAACCGAGTCAGAGAGGGACAGGGTATTGGTGAAATCATGGCTGCCTCCTATCTCACCCCATCCCTCTGTTTGAAGGAAGGAGAGAAGAGCATGTAAAATTAGGGAGAGTTGGGGGTACCCGGTTTAAGAATTGGGAGATGAGTTAGTGTTGGGATGAAGATTGTGGATAGAGTGAGAGTTTATAGAGGAGTGAAGGTGAGATTACATCTTCAAGTAAAATAGGGTTTGGTGTTAGACTTGGGGTACAGTTTAAATTGCTATGGGGTGGGATTAAGTTTATAGCTGGAGGCAAATTTAAGGTTAAATTTGAGTTGTGGATTTGGGGTTAGGGTGGGGTTGGGTTTAAATATAGGTGCGAGTGGAGTGTGGTTGAGATTTGATTTAGGGTTAGGACTGGGTATTTGAATGAGTTGGGATTGGAATTAGGATCAAGGTTAGGGTTGAAGTTGAGTTTTGAGTGAGTGGAATTTGAGTTTTGCATTGGGGTTTTCAGCTAAGGCCATTCCCCATTCCCATGGCCTTGTTTCAGCGCCGGAGGGGCAGTAGGTTGGCTTGGTTAAGATCCTCAGCTTTGGAGGAAACAAGCTCTCTGAGTTTAAATCCTGACTCTACCACTTGGTAGCTGTGTGTTGCCTTGGGCAAATTATATAATTTCTCTAACCCTCAATTTCCTTATCTGTGTAATGGGGATGATAATAAGAGTATCTACATTTTAGGGGTGATGTGAGGATTAAATGAATTCAACACTCAGAAGAATGCCTGACACATAGTATTCCCATTTTGCAGATGAAGAAATTGAGGCAAAAAGGTTGTGACTTGAGGAACTGGCTGAACTAGAGGTCAAACCAGGCAGCCTGACTCCAGAGCCCTCATGGCTTACTACCAACATGAAGTTATGTGTTTCTCTGTCTCTGTCTCTGCCTCTTTCTCTCTCTTAAAGGGTCTGTGCTCTTTCTGGAAAGGAAGAGACTGCACTCATGGACAGTATTAATGTCCAGGGGTTGAGGTTAAGGTTAGGTGATTTTAGAGCTCATGGTATCCAAGTTGGGGTTTGGACTATAACAGGGGTTTGCCTTTTGGTTGGTGGGGTTTGTGCTAGGATTCAATCTGGTGCTGGCTATGGACTTAGAGTTAAGGTGGGTGCTTGGATAGGGGTCAGGGCCAGGATTGAGGTGAGGTTTCATTTGAGAATTAAGGCTGTGGTTGGGGCTGGGAGGCTGGGGGCTGTACCTGGGTCAGGCTGAGCATCAGGGCTTGGGTAGTGGAGAGGCTGTGTTTGCACTGGCCGGGATGGGAACAGGGAAATGTGATTCCTTTCCGGTCCCGGAGGCTCTCTGGGGATGGGGTCTGGGTGGGCAGTGGGTGGGTCAGAGGGGCTGAGGGTGGAGCAGAGCCCAGGCTTGCTCCAAGGGTCTGTAGGGGTGGAAGGCTGCTCTCACCTTTCCCGCCTTCAGATTCCGACATCCTCCTTTCGAGATTGAAGGGCCATCTGCACACAGCCCCCCTTCCTTTCCCCAGCTTTAGAGGGATTAAGGTCACAGGGCGGAGCGATAACAGGTTGGATGGGAGGGTGAACAGAGGTGCAAATGGAACATTCATGGGCCAGAACCTGGCAACAGAAAAGGCGCTGATTAAATATACGAAGGTACTTCAAAAAGTTTGTGGAAAAATAGAATTGAAAGATAATATAAATCTTTCCATGAACTTTTTGAAGTACACTTGTATAGTCACATCAAACAGTCGGGAGCTAGAATAAGAAAAAATGATATTATTTTCCAATAGTACCTGAAATTTGAAGTATGTAGGAAAGACCTAATGTAATATATATGCAATATCTCCATAGAAAAAAGATAAAATATTATCAAATATTAACGGGGACCTACATAAATGGAGAAATATATAATGTTTATTGATTGAAATAGTCAACATTGTGAAAATGTCAATTCCTTTCAAAGCGACCTAGAGATTCAATGCAATTTCAAACAAAATCTCAAAAGACTTTTCTGTGGAATTTGACCAACTGATTCCTTTTTTCCCCCCTTAGTAATGGACTTTTTTTTTTTTTTTTTTTAAAAG